GATTCAGTTAAAGTCTATGAAAGACATAGAAGAGGTCAGCACAATGCAGTAACTTACAGTATTATAGGGTCCAGAACGATATCTAATTATAAGAATTTCCTAAAGTCAACAGCAAATAAAATGGCTTTAATTAGGTTTGTCTCCAATAAACTATGTGAAAAATATCATTTGGTTCCAGAGGGTATAGAAATAGTAATCGCTGGAGGTTTTGAAGATGGCGGTAAATGTTTTAAAGTAAGTATGTAATAAGTTCCATCCATATTGTTGTAAATACGTATAGGTAGTACATAATAGAGAACTTTAAAAATATTTGTTTAATTTTTTTAAGATTTCAAACCATGCTGTTTCGGAACAAACACATTTTTACAGCAATCACGAAAAAGCTAATACAAGGATTATTTTCCACATGGCATCCTCCAATAAAAATGGTAGACCGGTTGTAAAATGTGATGACACCGATATTCCAGTATTATTAATTTATTATTATGCTACACACGAACATTTTAATACCGAAGAAATATTCATGGAAACTGGTCATACGAATATGACAACAAATAAAAAAAGCTATATTCCTATTTACACAATTTCGAAAAATATTGGTAAATTAGCATGTGAAGGCTTACCAAGTTTTCACAGCCTTACAGGGTGTGATACGACCAGTTCCTTGTTTAAAATAGGAAAAAGAAATGCTTGGGGGGTTAACCTTCACAAATTTTCCGAAATGGCACCAGAAGAAGGAATAAAGTTTGCTTTTTTTTTGTTTTTTTCCTATATATTTAGTCTCGACCAATAGAGAGAGTCGTCAATTTCCATTTTCAATGTAAAAAAACATGCTTTTTTAAATGGTTTTTTTCTGTGTCCTAGACCGGGCTTTCCGACGTCGCACTGATATTGACCATGTCTTCAGGATCGGCCTGCCGTTTAATTAACTTTTAACCAGACAGGTTAAATTTTCGTAACGCTGCTGCAGATATGACGTTTCTCAGACATTACCTGCATATTATGTAAAAACTACTGAACATTATTTTTTTAGTTCTTTATTTTGAACGCTTTTATTGATTAATTGACCATAATACTTATGTATAGATATTTATTAAATTAAAACATAATGTCGTCAAATATTTTATTAAAAATTAATACAAAAAATATACCTTCACGAAAACCAAAACATTCAAAAACATTCACTATAAACACTAAGTCTAAAAAATATTTTGGTAAAAGGCCAAATAATCACAAGGGTGATATACTGTTGAACAATCGTGTAAAAACTAGTTGAAACAGTATGTAAAAACTAGTTAAAACGCGATGAAATTGTGAGTTATGCCCCACCGAGGCATTCTAGGGTATTTATATAGTTCCAAACCAGTTTTGGTTGGAGCTCAGGGCCTTAAGGGCCTTAAGGGCCAACTCTCTCGCCCTCAATTCTTTTTGCTTGGAAGCTCGTGGCTAGTGAGCCTAGGTTTATTGATGTTAACTCTAGGCCTCTGGCCGAAAACTCCGGCTCCTACTCCTTTTTCAGTTTTGAAGCCGTCCGTGTACAACGCATAGTCTGCCTGGAAGAGGGTTTTTTCCTCTGCTCAATGCGTCTCTCTCTGGAATGAGGACGCTGTATGGCTTTTTTACGTGCTGTGAGAGAACTAGTGTGTCCGAGACTATGCCGAGGATAAAGTGGTTATTCATTTCACTCATCAGCCCCGTCTTGTCCCATCGCAGTTCTTCGTAACATTGACTACCCATCTTCAAGAGCCTGCAGTAGATCATCCTGGCCTCCCTTTCCAGCAGAATGTGGAGAGGGGTTAGGTCCAGCATAGTCTCCATGGCTCCCGTAGGTGTGGTTGACATTGCGCCAGCTTTGCTCTGGCCGTGCGTTGAAGTCCCTTGTCCCACCAGACGACATAGCCGTACGTAACCATGGGTTTTACCACTGTCTGGTAAACTATAGTTATTCTACAGCTCAACGGTATTCAACGGCAAGCATGTCTGAGTACCATCGGAGCCATAAGAACGATTCCAAAAGCATCTCTAGAAGTCATACTAAACCTAACACCACTTTATTTAAGGCGAAACCAGGTCTGTCACATACAGACTGTACAACATTCCATCGCGTATAAGAAATATATAAAGAGTTGGAGAACGACCAAATAACGAGAGTGCCTTCAGACGAAATGCTCCCAAAGTATAGCTTTTAGAAGCAATACGAAGTAAGTATACCAGAGAGGAAAGCATGGATAGGATGATCTCCTATTTATGAAGAATTTACTTCGTATACAGACGGCTCCAAAACCCATGTTTTGTTTTAGGAGTAGGTATATATAGTACCAAGCCAAAGACAAGAATCTCATTGAGCTTAAGTTAACATGCGACAGTAGTCCAGGCAGCAATACCAGCAATACATCACTGCACAAAAGAGGTATTCAGACAAAACCATTGTCATATACTCAGACAGTCAAGCGACGTTAAAAGCACTCAGTTCTATGCAGGTAAACTCAAAGTATGTATGTGATTATTTGAAAGCCCTATCAGATCTAGATAGTAAAACAAACTAAGTTTAACCAGGCAACGAAGAGGCTGATTTACTAGCCCAAAAGAGAGCCTCAAAGGCTTTTATTTGCCCAGAACTTTTCTGTGGTGTCACAAAGAACGTGCACAAAGCAGTGGAAGTTTAAAAAATCTTAGGATTGGTGGAAACATTCACCAGGACAGAGACAGATTAAAGAGTTCTTAAAAGGGCCCTCCTAAACTCACCGAGCATCTACTAAGTCTCAATAGGAAAAAAAAATAAGAGTACTTGTAGGTCCATTAACAGGGCCTTGTATGCTTAACAAACATAGGTATAATATCGGTCTGACACAAGAGACCTTGTGATGATTCTGTCAAGAAAATGAGGAAACTGCCAAACATGTATTGTGATATTGCGAAGGTCTAGCAAGACTGAGATTGCTTACACTTGAAGAAGGAAACCAAGGGCAACTAGTTACACCGGAGAACTATTTCCTAGTCTATGGAGTCATAAGACCGAATTAGACACGATACTGTAAGCAAAGATAAAAGAATATCCACAATAAATCCAAATGGCTTACAGTCCTAATTAAATCTAATTTAATATAGCACTTCATTAAATCATAATAATATAGTGAAGAGTTTGAAACGAGACAATCTACTCGTAGACATTCTGTATCATACAAAACATGATATCTAGCATGTTAGGTCTGAGATGACAAATGTCAGAAAAATAAATTGTAACCAATGATGGTATTAGGAAAAGGAAAATCTTACCCTTCTGACCAGTTTTTTTCAGGATGCATTTATATTGGATATTCGTCAGATATTTTTCCATAAAACTCTGAATTTTTTTATTTAAAAACAAACAATATTTAATGTTCTTTCTCATTTCTATACTACCAGAGCTAAGAAAAATAATTATCTTCCCAAGTTCCGAATACACAAATAATAATTGGGCAAAGAAACAAGTATTTAGCACCCCGTTTTTATAATTTTAAAAACGTTAAACACGTCAAACCATTTTAAAAAAGCAGGTTTTTCCTAATATCTAATAACAGTTTCCCACTTTTTTTAATTTGTTACCTAATGTGTTAGTTTCTATTGTAATATTTTAGTTTATCAAATTGTTGATTTTTATATTTAACAGTATTCTATTAATTATTATATTCTACTATGTACCCAATAATTTGCAAAAATTATATTAATGTTAATTTGTGTGATAACAATGTAATACAAGTTTTAATTCGTTGTAAGTTATAAACAATATTAAGGCAATACACAGTAATAATTATTACATTATAACTCATACCACGAACAGCCCAGTGGTCTTGTGGTACACCAGTTCTCCGTCACTCTAACCAATTCAATACGATACCAAGCAACGTAATTATGGCAATTTAACGACAATTCTGCAATATTCAGCAATATTCAGCAATATTCAGTAATATGTAGCAATATTCATCAAAATTTATTTAAAATTATTATTACTTTTGATTTTAGTGTCCCCTAGCAGGATTAAAGGTTTTGTAAAGTGTAAAATAAGTTAGAAGCCAATTTTATTAATAATTTAACAAAACATGATTAAACAAAATATAAACTTAAATAATAGAAATATATTGCAGGTCTCTAACGTTTAGTTTAGATATAAAAACAATCAACCAAAATAACAATCTTATGATATTCATTAAATTACTAAATAAAGTAGCTTTTAATTGAAGTGTTATACTATACAATTCGTAACAGTGTTATATCTCACTAGAGGGCGATAAAACCAAAAAATATCGCAATTAATAGTCATATAGCTAAATTCTCCATACAAAAACAGAGACAGAGGGGCCTGAAATCCTACACAAGACCATGTGGATTTTTAATTAAATTACACGGTTCGGTATAGGATTTGATGTGTGCCGTATTAATAGAAAAACAATTTCTGTTGATATGACATACAGATTATAAAATCGCCATGCATTACCGTATTGATGATGGTGGATGAGGTTTTCCGGTTTTTACTTACTTGTAAGTCAAATGACACCATCAACCATCTTTAAGTTACCCCTGAGCGCCACGGCAAATAATATTAATAGCCGTCCCTTTCCCTCAGCTCAGATTTTGGGGTTAAAATTCACACGTAAGGGGGTGAATTAGGGAGAGTATTATTATTAATAATATTATTAATTACCCTTACAATGATCTCTCATACTTGGTACTTTACCTATATAGATTATATTTGATAGAGTATCAGTGATGAGGGGACTCACTGATATGAGAAAAAGGATATGATAGAAAGATGTCACCCTTTAATCAAAAATTCACAACAGTTTGTCGAAAATATTGACCACGCTACCAATCATGGCTTTCGTAGCTGACCACTCTGTACCTATAGTTAAAATAAACTGGATATTTTTATTAATTTTATATTTACAAAAACAACTATATCTCAAAAAACAGTAAAATATGTACAAATAATTAAGACTTATATACTCGATGACCATATGCAGCTAATCACATTTTTTAGATCTCGTTACTGGCGGTTTACCAGTTACATGGCTTTTCAAAGCAAATTTCCTAGTCTTTATCGAAATACCCTTCGTCCTCACGGCGTAGTACGCTAATGCGATAGAAAAACCAAAGAAACCGAACATCCTGAGCATCATCAGCTTCCTGTCATCGAATTCTGGCTCGGCCGCCCATTTGAGGAAAACAACGACATCTTTAGCTAGCTGGCTGGCATGAGCGTGGGTTCCATCTGAGTAGACAGCTGAATCCTCGAATATGGGTTGAGCCATAGCAATTGCGCCTCCAATAAAGTACGGGTTGTAATTTTGCCCTTCTCTAATTGTCACTCCTGCTGGTGGGTCACAATATCCGGTCAGCAGCGAGAAAATGTAGTCTTCACCTAGACACAAAAAGTTATCAACAAAGTGGAAAAAGAAGATCAACATGTAGAATTAATCAACGAAGGATCAAAAAAGAAAAGAAATAAAGGAAAACTAATTTCTCTTACCTCCTTCTCGTCCTAAAACTATATAACTCAAGTCCGGGGGAAAGGCCCCGCTATTGGCAGCGCGCGCAGCTTCTTCGTTCGGATACGGAGCCGGAATGTAATCGGATAATTTCCCAGGGCGTTTGAACATGTTTCCTTCTTCGTCGGGGCCATCGTCTATCATTTGCTCCTCAGCTTCGGCTTTGGCCGCTGCCTCGGAATGAGTTACTCCTACCAAATTGCGGTAAGCGACGAACTTCAACGAGTGACAAGAGGCGCACACTTGCTTGAAGACTTCATAACCACGCCGAACGCTGCAAAATAAAGGAGTCAAGCATCATCATAATTATCCAGCACCGAGAATCCGTAGTATAGATATTGGTAATCGGTAATTTGGTCACACAGTTGGATACAATTCAAGTGGTATCGTGTGCCTGAAGGTACTATTTGGGAACGCGCGACAAGCTTCAGGAGACCGAGACACCAGTAAAACGGGCAAATATTGCTATACTATATCTGTCGCCTCTACCGAAATGTGTGTATTATAATTACATGGGTTTAGGTTTAGACGTGAAGAGACCGTTTAGTGACTCGCTTGCTGTCGCGGCGCGTTTTGAAGTCGGTGTCTACCTGCGCTTGCGAAATGGTAGCTTTAAAGGTGTCACTCAGCGCGCCAAGAGTTTATAGTTATATAAACCGATGCATGGACTGAATTCTAGGAACTCGACGAAATACTGTTTTATTATTAATAATCGGTTCTTGTGCTTTTATCTGACAATATTGATTTTATTTGGAAGTATTCATTGGAATAAAGATTTTACTAGTATTTTTGGTAATTTATTAATAAATTCTACAAACGTAGGTAGAAATCTACCCTGGATTCCTATAATTGGTCAACTAACAGGCACTCCCTGTGTAGAAAGGACATATATACAACGAGAAAAATCAGGTTATACGATTTTAATTTAAGAAAAGAAATATAAATATAAACATCTGATTATTTTTAATCGTATTTACGTAAAGTTACAACTTCAAAAAAGTACTCTATACACGGTGGAATTTTAATAAGATACCAATATTTACATATTTTTAAAAAGCCGCTTGTTTGAGCGAGAATCGGAGCGGCAAAAGGGGAAATACGTAAACCAAAATGCTTTTCAGAAATATTAAAATCACTTTTAATTAGTTTCCATGCATGTTTCGTATTATTAGACACATTTTGTTTTTGATAAATAAACTCCTAAATTAGTCAAAACGTACTTATTTTCCTTTAATAAGCAAAATAGTTCCAAAATCTTATGTTTAGAAGCTCCATATTAACTAATTTTATTTTTACTGTATGTAAGTCAGAATAATAGTCCTTTTCACTTTCTACACTCATTACTCATAAAATAATATACAATAAAAATAATGATAATGAATAAAAACCAAATTACGATCGAGACTACGATCAATACTATTAAAACTAATATAATCACGACATTTCCAGAGTCGTGGTTTATTTACGAGCTTACTTTCGTTTTGCGCATGTCTTGACAATTCGTTCCTATTCAGACCCAGGAACTGATTTGACAGTACATAAACTGGTTTGTAATTAGGCATTCCAACGACCTGTCAAACAATATGTGCCAGTGGGAAATTCTTGTATATCTAAGGGGGTAGCGACATAGTCTTGCAACTTGGACGCTATTTTTATTCCAAGTAGTAGTCGCCAAGGCTGCCAATTTATGAAGAAATGTATAGGTAGGTTTTTTAAATATTATTTTTATTGTGTTTGACATAAAATATTTAAATTTAATCCATTATTCATGATTTTAAGTAAAGTAGAATACACCGTTAGATATACCAAACCTTCCCACTGGCAATTCGTTTGTTTGGAATGCCTAATTAGGTTTGAGTATGTTGAAACACTAGCTTTTTGTACACTTTTAAGTCCGAGGTTTGTTGGAACACCAAACCTAGATTGAGGAGAATCCCGACAGTACGTAAACCGATTTGCTATTGTGTTGGAACAAACCTCAAATAATTATATTCTTATTATTTTTAAAACAATGAGTGACAGATTGACACATACAGATGACTTTATGACTTTATTTGTAGGTTTTTTTGAAAAATGTCGTCCTTTATAAAACTCAATACGAATTCAAAAAGATCTAATAGAAATTCTAAAATACTCCCTAAATTTGGTTTAATTTCCAAAAAGCCTCCGCTGCACAGCGATATTAAAGACACCTTCTGTATGGCGACACAAAAAACAACTTATCCACTGGTTTATTGGAAACTTTGACGGTTGCAATTGCCAGTTCCTCTTATTCTTCCTCTTCTAATAACAACACAAACAATTTATTTGTGTCCATTTCGTTTACATTCATGATACAAAAACAGCACGTACAGACATAAGGTCTCATTTTCTATATTTAACAAACCACCTCGAGCAAAAATCGCTGCCCTCAGCGATCGACGAACTGCCCGCTCACCGCGACGGAGTGTTTAAAGAAACCAAGGCTTTAGGCAGACAGTAGTGTAGATTAACTGATTACGTTAAAATCAATTTGAGTAAATTGTCAAGTAAAATGAGCTTAGTAAAATTTGTGTTAATATTAAAGTGATAAAATGTCGTCAAAATGTTCGTCTGAAAAGGATAACATATTAATTGATATGGTAAAGGAGCATCCCGCACTTTTTCAAGTGAAAATCAGAAGTTGAAGAGACAAAATAGTTAAAAATATTGCTTGGTTTTGGAATATTACTACTTAAGAACTAACAATTCTCCTTCGTCTCCTTCTTCCACTGAAATAATCACTACTAACGCATTATTTAATTCATGGAAACTCATTTTTGCTTTCACTTATTAACAAAAGAAGTCCGGACCGATTTACATTTTAACAAAAACCACTTCTACTAAAACTGATGTGAGGTGAACGCGACAGAATGTGCCATACGCTTACGTCGAGCATCGCGCACTGTCCTAACAAACAAATCTTCTACATCCGGTCGGCAATTGACTCAATAAAATATTTCTCGATCTCCTGCCAGTGTCCTTTTAGTTCCAAAATATCCTCCCGAACGGCTGCTATGAAGCTGCTCCAACACACCTCTGACATGTGACTTCGGCAGTACCAATTGACGAACTATATGTACTCCATCGGGGCTTTCCAACTTCCGGTGCCATAGTCCACTGTAAAGATACCGGGAATCCAGTACCCTTTAATAATTCTACTGTATTTTTGGCTATCTCTTGCCAAGTAGGCCTAGACTTTATTTTTGAATCATTCTCAGATAACCTTCAAGTAATTGTCTTTTTATGTCCTTTTCTCAGGTTTTTAAGGGTGATTTCTTCTTCTGGCTTGATAATGGTTGCCGGAAGAGTAACTTCGTCAACCGGTTTTTCTCGTTCTTCGAGCCCTTTATTGTACGGGCATTGTTGTTCTAGACAGTGTCACCTGCGTTGCTATTGACGGCATCTTTAATGGCTAGGTGTGGGTGATCGGCTTCCCCGGAACATATATATTCTGTAATTAATTTTTTTTGTGTCATCGGCTTCAACTGCTAAGGTTATTTCGCCTCATGTTCTGTGTACGCTTTGTTACTGTTTCCCAGCGCCAGTTTAGGAACAGCACTGTTCATTAGAACCCAACAGTGAATGGTCGAGTGGGGAATCCTACCAAGGCATCAGAATTAATTTTATTGTGTTGTTGGATTTCGTTACGGGCTTCAGGAGATTGATCTATGTGACTTTTTGGCCGCATTCCCTAATTCTCGATTTATAGAAGTCCTGATTCTACAGGTTCTTTGAAGGTGTCCATTCGTCTGCAATTTTTTTTTCTCTCCTGGGCTCGTCTGACTATGTGTCTCCGAATAACACTGAAGCCTATTGGCTTATTGTGTTTTACCTCATGTTAGTTCATAGCACCCACTCTATTACCTTTGTACCTTGTACAAGTTTGTAAAGATCCTTGGGTGAGTGGGTTCTATACGTTGTTGGATCAACCTGGGGTTGTCCAAAAAGAGCCTATCTTTTGCGATCTAGAGCTTCGCATTCGCACAGTATGTGTTTGGCCGTTTCTGGTTTCTTGTGACATAGTCGGCACATGCATTCCCCATTGTACATGCCAATTTTGTTCAAGTGTCGCTTTACTGGGGCGTGCCCAGTCATGAACCCTGTTATCACTTTCAACTGGTTCCTATTCATTAAGAGTAGTTCTCCAGTTCTTTTGGGACATGGTCTGCCTATGAAGGCTTTTCCATGTGCCTGTTTTGGGGTGCTTCCCCAATAGTTGATATGTTGTTCCCGAATCCAGTCATTTATAAAACCCCGTACTGTACTTTTTGGTACTCCTGGGTTCGTGTCTAGTTCCGTTGTTTCTTCTGACCCTCTTTTTGCAAGTTCGTCAGCTTTTTCGTTGCCTTCGATCCCTTTGTGACCTGGGACCTCGTCTGCAATTAAAACATCTTCTGCTTTCATTCTAGTTGTTTTCTTGCATATTTTGCAGGATATTTAAAATATTTAAAATTTGTTGGGAAATAATTTATTTTAGTTTTGCGCGAGAAGATCTAGATATGAGTTTTAGGTAGTGCCTTATATTTCTGGGCTGCAATCAGTTTCTCCCTCAGTATCTTGTGTTGTTGTAGCCATAGAGCTTGCTGCATTTCCGCATCTTATAGTCCATCAATAAATGCCTGTATGTCGATTTGTTATTGGAAATATTTGGAAGCCTGTGTATATTCCAGATGAATCAATCTTTTTATATCGGCCTTGAATTCATGTAGACCCTCATTATGTTTCTGACTACGAACTTTAAGTTTGCTTTGGAGTACCCTTTGTCTACAAGGCTTGTATAAGAGACGAATAACTGGGTTCATATTGAGAAAGTAACTGTTAAACGGTTGCTGCCATGGCAGCGACGCTATCAAGGAAGCCGCCATCTCTTTTTTATCCCGGCTATTGGCTCTAGCTGCAGCTTCAAATTGGAGTTAATATGTTTCTCATATTATCTGACTGTCAAACGTGGGTGGCTTAATGGTCTTGCTAGCATGGTTTTGTGAAACTGGATTTTAAATATGGCTTGGTTTAGTTATAAATAAGGACGAGGTAATGTTTTCAGTTTCTCTGTTGCTACAAATTTTTCTTTCTAACTTAACTAGTTCAATAATTCTAATTTACATTTTCAACTCCAAGAGTGTACTAAACTTATTAAAATTCCATCCCTAAAGGCGTGAAAAGGATTATTGAATTTTGTATCAACGAATAATTATTTCTACACTTTACACAAAACTAAGTGTTTCATTATTTTTAAAATGTATCTACTAAGGGGCTAAACGGGACTGGCAATGTTCATATGGAGCTTCTAAACATAAGATTTTGGAACTATTTTGCATATTATAGGAAAGTAAGTACGTTTTGACTAATTTAGGAGTTTATTTATCAAAAACAGAATGTGTCTAATTTTGATGGATCTACCTAAAATCACAGCAAATAATACGAAACATGCATGGAAACAATCGAATAATTGAAATTTATAAATCTTTTAATGAGTTTTATAATTTTTTTATTTACCAAATTCAAAATTTAACATGTTATTTTTTTTTTACTTTTACATTATTGTTGTCTGATAACAGAAACATGTGTTCCAACACAACCAAGTTCCGAATTCAGTCCCAATCATCGACAGGTCATGGACTGGTCGTCGACAAGTTGTGGACCGGTTTGTGTATGGTTACAAGATTGTTGTTGGAACAAACCTTTGTATTCACAAACTGTTTCCGCACACGCCGACGATTCCGCTGATATCAAACTCAACAGATATGAACCGACTACTCGCGACAAATCAGAGGCATGACATCGTCCTGCTCAGCTAAACAAATTCAAGAAAACCATCCCCATTTAAATACTCTGGTTGTATAAAATCGTCAAAACGCGACGGTCGACGGACTGTCCGCTCACCGCGATGGAGTGTTCAAAGAAACCAAGGCTTAACTGTGCTGACTAACAAGTCATTCCCATAGTATTAATATTGTTAGATTTCAGCGGACGTATGAGGCGCTCAGCAGACTGTAAGTTTTGCATCCCGTACTGTTTTAACAAACCGTAGCTTAAAGCTACAGTTTGATAGATCACTGTGCGATGCTCGATGTACGCATACGGCAGTATCTGTCGCGTTGGACTCATGTCAGTTTAGTAAACGTGGTTTGAATAAAAATCAGTTCAACTTTTTCTGTTGATAGATGCAGGAGCAAATGAGGTCCCATAAAGCAAATAACGCATTATTAGGAAGTATTTTAATGGAAAAAAATATGAAGAAGAATTATTAGTTTTTAAGAAGTAGTTGAGCAATATAAATCAATATTGTTAACTATATTGTCTTTGTTTCGGATTTGATGAAATGCAGGATGATCTTTTACCATAATAATTATTATTTTATCCTCTTTAAAAGAAAATGTCAAAGACATTTTATCAATCTAATTATAACACATTATTCTGACCTCATTTTACTTGGCAGTTTACTGTATGCTCAGCTGAACGAGTTCGTCCAAATCAAACTCAAATTGATTTAGACGTAATCAGTCGACGTATACTTCTGTCTGCCAAACTGTGCTGACTCTAACAAACCATTCCCATAGTACTAACATTTTTAGATTTAAGCGGACGTGCGCAGCGCTCAGCAGACTATGAGTTTTGCGCAGCGCACTGTTCTTACAAACCGTAGCTTCAAACGGACGATACTTTCGGCTTAGTTTCACCTCTACTTAAGTAAACTCAGTATACTCTGTGCCGATTTGGTACAGATTTTTTACCGATTGCTTATAAATTTCAGTGAGTTCTTCCTGACTTGTGCGGTATGTTGGAGAGCGGTGCAGGAAGCAATCGGTATACTGCGTCTTGGTACAAATCAGCAGTAGAGGCGCTGGTTTGTCCAGTTTTTCTAGCGTTGTTAGCATAGTATTGTAAATAAGATGGCAGTGGAAAGAGATATTCAGAGTATAATAATATTCATTGTTATTATTGACGGCTTGTCAGTAGAGGCTGTAGAGCTGTTGCTCCTCGTACAAAGGGAAACCAATTCATATAAAATAAAAATGTATTATGTTATCCACCAATACTAGATTTAATACAAAAATATTATACGCAACAGGATTCAAAAGATTTAAATGTTACACCATAATAGTATCTTCTTTTGATGATCACATACTCTAGAAATGACACAATCATACAGATACCGCACCAACAAGTCAGGAAGCGGTCAGAAAATCACATGTATAAATTAAGTTATAATCATAGTTAAGGTGCACCTAAGAGGAAAGGGTGCAAACAGCCCTCGTAGTTATAGATACACAAACTCATTGTTAAGTAATTCTACTATAACTAACCTTGCATGATCCAGAGCATCGAATAATCCATTATGAGCCCACTTGAATTTCGCAGGATGCAGTTCTAATTCACCAGCTTGAACTGATTGGTCTAATGAGTAAATTATGACTCCTGTACCACCAGTTATTAACCCTAAGATGCCTAAAAACTGAAGAATATGTTAGCTCATATTGAGAGGTTAATTCTTTTAGCTATTATTACTTACTGCTGTTTTGCTACTCGACCACGTCTTTCTCGTTGAGAATAATCTTGTCTAAAATATATAAAAGGTAAAATTAGTATACTAAATAATATATTCTAGATTTATTTTATTTTACCTTGTTAACTGAATGTGAATTAATTTCTAACAAACTAACTCCAATGAATCTCCTTAAATACAAAACCATGTTTGACATATAATAATTTGTCAAATTGACAAACTTGACAATCATCTTGGCTCATAAAAATATGTCATTTTAGGAATAACTAAGGACCGTACTTGGCAATAACCAGAGCGCACACAAAAAAATTGTTTACTAAATTAATTACTTTTAAATAATACTATTTCAGTCTTAATTACTGTGATATTGCTTTCATATTGTCTTTATTAGTAGTTTAATCAAATATACAAATATATAAATATAAAATATACTAATTTATACAAAATAAATCAACTTTTCTCATCGTACAATTTTGACCAAATTTTAGAAGTGATAAAAGTTCTAAGGCATGCATATTTTTTTGTTTTAATTTTCACTCTCCCCATTTATACCATTAAACAATTTTAACCAAATTTTGACGGTATAAGAAAACGCAAAAAAAGCAAAAATTAAAAAAAAATGTAATAATGTTTTTATATGCATTATATCAAAAGGTGAATAGCAGAGAGAAAATAATTATCAACACTCTAACTAAAAAATTATTTTCTATATCTCCAATCACCTTTTGATGTAATTTAATGCCTGTTGAGGTCAAAGCCAAGGGAGTAGTTTTTTCAAGAGACAAATAATCGCTGGTTGATTCTGTGACACGGTCTTTGAACGCACGCACGCACGCACGCACGCACGCACGCATGCACGCACGCACGCACGCACGCACGCACGCACGCACGCACGCACGCACGCACGCACGCACGCACGCACGCACGCACGCACGCACGCACGCACGCACGCACGCACGCACGCACGCACGCACGCACGCACGCACGCACGCACGCACGCACGCACGCATGCAGGCACGCACGCACGCACGCACGCACGCACGCACGCACGCACGCACGCACGCACGCACGCACGCACGCACGCACGCACGCACGCTCGCACGCACGCACACACACAGACCTATACACGTATGGAAATATTTGTGCCATCCGTATATGGGAGGTATTTGTGGCATCAAGGCAATTATTATATACAAGCAAAAGAGAAAAAAACTGGGATATCTATACAATTTAGTTTACACTCCTTAACCCTCTAAAATAAGTAAGTTATTAGCGAAAACAATTGAGGCGTGTTTTGCAAAAACACCACATGTCAGTTTTTCCAAAATTATGTTATGACACTTATGGGTATATAACATAAGTACCTATGTCCCTTACTAGAAGAAAATCCACAAAATCGCCAGTAGTTAAAGATATTAACGATTAATAAATATCGACCATTTTTCATAAACCCTATATGTCAATAGTAGTTTTCATCAAATTCCACAGAAGTTGAATTTAATGACAACTGGAGTTTATGCAAAGAACGCCTCAATTGTGGCAACTAGTTCCACAAATATTATCTATGTTAAACATTCATACGCCAGTAAACTTTCTTAACACACTTTTCACATGAATTACGTCAACGTTCCTTATGGGAATTGAAGAGTCAACGACTTTTTTCCTAGAAACTCTTATCGCGTATCTTATTTCATTATTCTGGTTTACAACATTTTTATGTGAATTATTCACTTGTTAATTAGCTCTTTTGATAGTTAGATGTATTGTTAGATGAAATAAAACTTGTAAAATAATAAAGTATATTTTTTAAAAAACGAATTTCGAGATCAGAAAATATTTGTGGCGCAGTCAGTAGGATATCCAAGTTGTCGCGTATCGAACGTGTCAATTTTCGTTTTAACGATTGATTGGATATCGAACATTTGTCGCGATTCGTGTATGGAGGTGTTGATATTGGAGTGGTTCTCCAAACATCGAGAAGCCCATCCATCGAGGACCAGTATAGCCGTTCACAACAATCAGCGTCGAAAGTTAGGACACAAATCGCTCAACTTTGCAAGGAGTGCAGATTCCAGGGATAGCTACTGTTCATCCTTATAGTTAGACAAGGATAATGCTCAAATTCGTGTTTTTATTGTAAGTAACTTAAAATTATTTTTTTTAATTTTTAAATGTCAATTGATTTACTCGCAGACGAATTTGCAACTCTTGATTTAGATAATTTAATTGACCTTCCTATTCCAAAGAAAGAAAGCTGCTCTAGATTTAGTTTTAAAAATAGAAATAAAGAGAAAGATCTAAAATACAAAAAACCTTTAAGAAAAATGGCAGACTTTAAACCTGAATATTTAAATTGCGTACCAGAGTTCGATGGTAATCCAAACGAACTTAATAGGTACTTATCGGTATGTGAATCCCTTATTAACAGTTTTTATATTAGAGATCAGCCAAATCATTTCCAAAATACATATTTATTAAACTCTCTAATATCTAAACTTCGTGGAAACGCAAAACTTGTTGTAAATATACAAAATGTAACCAGTTGGACATCGCTAAAAGATACTCTTTCTAGAAATTTTGCCGATCAGAGAGACGAAGCTTGTCTAAATCGCGATCTAGTTATGATGAGGCAAGGTAATAACGAACAACCTCAATATTTTTACGATAGAATTTTAAATATTTTAAATCTTATTTGTAGCTATGTAGAGTTACACGAAATAACTCAAAATAGTAAATTACTAAAAAAGGATTTGTATATTACTTTAGCTTTGAAAACGTTTCTATCCGGTCTTAAGGAGCCTTTGGGAACTACAATTCGTTGTATGAAGCCCAATAGTTTAAATCAAGCATTGCAATATGTTTTAGATGAAGATAATATACATTATCTCCAAAATTTTCAAAATAACCAAAACAGAAATTTTAATAAACAACCTTCGCCACAATTTAGGCAACAACAGAGACCAATTTCAAATAATCAAAATCGATTTAATAATAGAAACAATTTTAATCAACAACCTCGATATAATTTTAATGCACAAACTCCTAATAATTTCTTTACAACACAAAATTCCTTCCCAACAGGTCCTGTAAACATCCAACCACGAGTACCTAGATATCAAAATTTTCCTACTAATGCTCAAGTCTTTAATCAAAATAGAAATAATAACGTTTTTAAACCTAATCAAACACCTACTCAGAATTTTTCAAAACCTACTCCAATGAGTGTTTCCACGCGCAATACATTTAACAGAAATACTCCAATGAGTACTTCTACTCGAAATGGCCCAAATTTTTCAAACTCATTTAATCTAAACCAACCTCGAATGAATTTTATAGCCGAAGAATTATTTAATGCGGAATGTCAAAATGCTGACAATTTTTCTAATTCTCACGATATTAATCTTGAACCCACTAATGTTCATAACTCTTCTTATGGCAACGAAAGATTTCATCTCAAGAATGATTTAATTGATTTTAATGACCCAGAAACAAATTTTCAGAATCAGCCTCATGGCAGACCCACGACGTAACTCCGCACGTCATATCCCTTAATAATATAAAAAATGCAAACGAATTACCTTATATATTTTTTACAGAACATAATTTAAAATTACTTATTGATTCAGGGTCTACAAAATCTTTTATCGATCCAAACGTAGCAACAAAATTTTATTCAAAATTCATAAAAGACGATCCATTTATTGTTTCGTCTGTGTTTCAAAAATCTGCTCATAAGTATAGTACGCTAATTCCAACTCCAAAAATTTTTAAATTACCAAATCATACAAATTTAAAATTCTTTCTGTTTAAATTCCATAATATATTTGATGGGTTAATAGGAATAGATAACCTTAGAATCTTGCAAGCAAATTTAGATTTCGATAAAGGATACCTCTCCACCCCTTATACTAAAATTCAGTTAATTTTTCAGCCAACTCAAAGTGAAATAAATTTTTTAAACATAGCTCCGCGTTGCGAACAAATAATAAAAATAAAAACTACTGTTTCTAACGGAGAAATAATAATTCCACATCAAAAATACGGAAATTGCGAAATACCAGAATGTCTTACAATAGCCAAAAATGGCGAAGCATTGACGACAATTCTAAACAATTCTACCTGCCCAATTACTTTAGACTTTTCAAAACCAATAGATGTAGAAAAATTTGATAGAGACTTAATTCAAGAATTTGACTTAAACAATTTTGACGAAAATTTTAAACAAAACCTAGACCTTTCAAAATTCAGAACTGACCATTTAAATTTAGAAGAGAAATCACAGATAATTAATTTAATTAAAGAATACACAGATATATTTCATCAAGATAATCTACCCCTAACGTTCACAAATAAAATCAAACACAAAATAAATACAACAGATGAAATTCCTGTTTATTCACGACCATACAGATATCCATTCATATACAAAGACGAAGTACAAAATCAAATTAAAAAGATGTTAGACTCAAAAATAATTCGCCCTAGTAATTCTCCGTGGTCATCCCCTATCTGGGTGGTACCAAAGAAAATGGACGCCTCGGGGGAAAGAAAATGGAGGGTTGTAATAGACTATAGACAGTTAAACACAAAAACAATCGACGATAAATATCCCCTTCCAAACATCACCGACTTATTAGATAAACTCGGTAGATGTCAATATTTTACCACTCTCGATCTGGCAAGTGGGTTTCACCAGATCAAGATGGACGAAATAGATATAGAAAAAACCGCATTCACAACTGAAAATGGTCACTGGGAGTTCCTAAGAATGCCATTTGGCTTAAAAGGGGCACCAGCGACATTTCAACGGGTTATAGACAATATTCTCCGAGGTATACAAAACGAGCAATGCCTTGTTTACCTAGACGATATAATAATTTTCTCGACGTCATTGCAGGAGCATATTGAACGCTTAAAAAATGTTTTTCAGCGTCTTAGAGAGTCAAACTTTAAAATTCAGCTGGACAAGTCCGAATTTTTAAGGAAAGAAGTGGCCTACTTAGGTCACATTGTGACTCCAGAGGGCGTCAAACCGAACCCCGATAAAATAAAAGCTATCAAAAAATATCCAATACCTTCAACAACGAAACAAATTAAGGGTTTTCTAGGGTTGTTAGGGTATTATCGCCGATTTATTCAAAATTTCGCCAAAATAACAAAACCATTAACTAAATGTTTAAAAAAAGGAGCAAAAATCGTACACGATTCAGAGTTTATTAAATGTTTCGAAAC